AGTGTATTGTCAGGAATCAATGACTGTGGTTAACACAGAATTGTCTGAGGTTTTCTTGTAAATGATCCTGTGAATGAAGGCTCACTTAAACCTTCACAAGAAAGTGATTTCTCAGTTTCCAAAGCTGAGGGAGGGAGGAAGCAGAGACAAAACATTTCCAGTTTAGGGATTAGTTGTCATTTTAAGTTCAATTTAAAAAGTGTTGAGCTGATCAGTGAGCGTATCTCTTCATAATCACTACATAACCTTTCTTTTTAACAGAGTTAACCATTTGAGGGCCACAACATGATCCCTGTGGCCTAAGGGCCAACAACTCTTAACTTCTCTTGCTGTAAACACTAATCCGTGTAACAAAATTGGGACTTCTTTCATGGTTTAAGATTCCCTTATGAAAGGAATGCCAGCTTTAATCTCTCCATCTGTGGTTTTCCAGAGATAATCCTTCCTACACTGATGTAGGCATGCTGAACACTAGGGCGTATCTTCATCTGAAAGCCCAGATTATCGAGGGTCTATATGACATTTGTAGGGAATGAAAAACCAATTCTCTGTCTTGTACTGTTTGTTCTGCGTTTTTCCCCTTGCAAAGATTTAAGGTTTCAAGGTGGTAAAGAAAAAAAGCAATCGGAAAAAGAAAACCTCACACAAAATTGGGAGAAGGCTGTATTATCGTATCACTAGACTTCTGAGAGGAATTGGGCTTGGTCTATAACGCAGTTTGTTAGGGCACTTCTTGGAAATCCATTGCCAGCTCTGTTGGTACAGAGAGGCTAAAGCACCTTTTACTTTAAGAAGTTCTGCAGGGTAGAGTAGAACTTCCTGGCTAATTTTGAATACTGTCCTAATGAGCCCGCTGTTATTGTGACCTACTAGACCTTAGCAACACTAATAACCCATGGAGAGAATGGTTGTTCTCCCAGTGGATTTACCACCTGTTGTGTGGTTGGGTTTTTGTAAATTTTCTGTTTCACTTTTAATAGGAATAATATGGGGTGAATACTACATGGTACCTCACAACTGTTACCACAGTAACAGCCCGTGATGATAAGCTGCTGCTTAGGTAACAGACTTTTGTGGAGAATTGGGAGTTTTCCCTTGATGAAATGTAACCGTGTGTGTTTCCAGGAGAAGAAAGGGCTCTGTGTCTTGTTGATGTAAAGAAAGTGAAGCAATCTCTAGCCCAGTCTCACCTCCCAGCCCAGCCCGATGTCTCACCAAATGTCTTTGAGGCTGTCAAAGGATGTCATCTTTTTGCTGCTGGCAAGGTAGGATACAGCCCCTCGTGCCCCTTCAGACTGCGCTGAGTTTAATATTAATAAAATCAGCATCTTTATTTCACTGGCAACAAATCCAAGGTCTGTATTCTTGTTTTAAGTACTTTTCTTCAAATAAGAAGAGTATAATGGCTGAAGAGAGGATGAGCTGGACACAATATGGAGGATTGATGACTAGTATGAATAAATTCAGTCAGGATGACATGATGGTATAGCCTGAACTGCTACGTAATAAGAAATACAGCAAAGCATAGTATAACTGCCTTCTCACAGTTGACTGCAATTTTGAGATTTATAATTAGTGAATTCCATCCGCTCTTTGTTCTTCAATGTCATGTAACAGTTTCCAGGCTAGCAAATTTACTTAGGTGTTTGCATCACTTGATAATGCTTGATATTTACATTAATTCCCAGTTTTAGTATGGAACATTTAGCCACAGCAAAAATTCTCTTTAACAATTACTGCTACAGACTACTTTGATAACAAACTGAACATCTTTCATTTCAAAGTGATGTTTAAGAGAACAGTTTCAAGGGTTAAAATTTAGATCTAACCTATTTGAATTTCTTATCCCTTTTAATGACACACTTTTCTGTGGAAAACCTTCGAATTTTTTATTAACTTCTTTCAAGTATAAAAGAAATCCAGAAGCGGTTCAAATTCACGTTCTGAGAATGTGAAGCAAGCAGCTTTTCATTATTTCACTAATTTCACAATAATTACCGTATTAAAAATGTACTTGCTTATCTCTGCAAAGTTCTTTTTGTGGCAAGAGGTACTCGGATCCATTTCGCATGCTCAGCATTAGGATTTACCATCCTAAACTATGCTTGTAATCTTCCTTACAGGTTGAGAATGGTCTTTGTATCTGTGCAGCCATGCCCAATAAAGTGGTTGTTCTGCGATACAATGAGAGCTTGAGCAAGTTCTGTATCAGAAAGGTAAGCTTACTCATTCCCTTCAGTAGCTAAGGTAATTCACATATTGCACTACGACTTTGCTTTGCTTTGGAGCAAACATCTTAAACCTTTCTGCATGCATAAGAACATTTGTTTGCCAGGTAAAATGGTAACAAATTGCAATGTACACTGACTAGAACCGGAGTAGGCAGCAATTTCCTTTAATAAGAGCCTGCATATTTGGATACAGAACAGCACTGTGATTTTTTGAGATACCTGACTCAGCTGTAATCATACCCTTGCTTATTTACCAAAAAAAGAATTTCTTCTCAATTATCCAGCAATGTTCCCTCACCTCTGTTGTCTTGGAGAAATCCATAACAACTGAATTCTCTCCTCTTTGCATTAAGGAAGCAATGGGTATCTGAATTTGTTTACTGTACCACTGAATATCAAAGGGTATTTGGTATGATTCCATCACAGGATAGGCAGCTGTCTCCCATGCTTACCCCGATATGCGTGTACTTCCAGCAAACAAGGCAGTAAGATATGGATCTCATATGGCCGGTGTATATACCTCCTCTGTACAGAACCCTATCTACCTACCGGTACGGTACGGTACCGGTACACGTATTGCTTCATTCTGCCACGCACAGGTATGAAAGGCAGAACCACTGCAACTCTTCTGCAGCCGCCCAGTTGCGGGCAGGTAATACTCTGAGCATCTAACCCACTCTGCCTCTCAAAGACAAGTCTGACAAATTGTCATGAATAAATTTTGTATGCTCACACACATCCAGAAAAAAAACAGAATAATAGGGATATCTCTGCAGAACAAAGAGTTTAAACGCTGCCTGCCTTAAAATGGGCTGGTACCCAGGAACCAGGTCAAACTACATATCCCTGTGAGCTTCTGCACGTTACTTTGAAAGTTTATAGCTTGACTGAGGCTTTTATCCCCGCTGAGTGCTACACTGGCACGGCTGTAAGGAAGCAGAGTCAGCACAGTAATTCAGATGCTGGCCTCCTCGGCAGTAAAGACATGTTTGATGGAGAAGATCTTGGCACAAACAAACAATGTGGATGCCAGCAAACCTGGAACACCTACAGGCCTTGTAGCTGATACCAACTCTTGCTCACAATGGAGCAGCAGCTGGCAGGAAATACTGAAGATATACAGTCACCGTCCTCTGCTCCTGCTGCCATTCACCTCCAGAGTGCCAAGTGCCTTGACAAGGGCTTACATGCAAACGCGTGTTTTAGAAGGCAGGTTTTCCTTATCTTCACTAATCCAGACAACTGAATTTAGGTCCTAACAAGATGGCAGCAAGCCCACAATATGTTCTTCTGTTCTGCCAACTAAATTTCCAGATAAACTAGGAATTACCCAAGGAATCTTATCCTTAGAGTATCTGGGGATCTGTACGTTGTGTCAGGCTAACTTGCACAGCTATCCTAGCCGTTCAATCACAATGCAAATCTTTGTGGACAACATAACATGTGTTACACAATCTTCCTCGTTCTTTGTACAATGTATGTTTGTCTTCCTTTTGCATAAGGAGCCATCGAGCTAATTATTTAAGTGTTAACAGCAGAGATGTTATACTTTTCCATATACTTCTGAGAGACTGTTAGTGCCTCTGAGGTTCCCTTTTATAAAGATAAATGTGGCAATATATAATATTCCAGAATAAGCAAAATCGTAAAGTGTTACAGAGAACTAATATTGGTCAACACTTTCCTCTTTTCCAGGAGATTGAAACCTCTGAGCCTTGCAGCTGCATCCACTTGACCACGTACAGCATCATCATTGGAACCAACAAGTTCTATGAAATTGAGATGAAGCAGTATACACTGGAGGGTAGGAGATGCTTCCTGAGGAACACACCAAGTGGCTCCACAGATTCTTGTGGTGGGGCTTCTCTAAAGCAGTTCAGAATAAGCAGTTGGGGCTGATCAAGCTGTTTTTCTCCATTCTCTTTGCAGAGTTTCTGGATAAAAATGACCACACTTTGGCCTCTGCTGTGTTTGCTGCTTCCACAAACAGTTTTCCAGTCAGTATCATCCAAGTGAACCCAACAGGGCAGAGGGAGGAGTATCTGCTGTGTTTCCATGGTAAGTAAGTGTGTTGTATGGTTGTCCAGTTGTTGCACTGTATCTATCATCTGCTGTCTTTGGTACGTGGACTGTCAGAAGGTACCCAAGTACTGTTGTAAAGGAAAGCTGAACAGAGTTCACTTTCTAGTATCTGGTAACGAAGAGTTGCTGAAGATGGTGAATCTAGAAGCCATGGAAGAGTTGTGGCTGGTGGTGTAAACAGTAAGATACACAGGGCATCGGCACTAAAATAGCACTTACTGATCCCATCTGCTGAGCGCTTTTGGTCAGCTGGCTTCTGGCTGAAAAGTTCTCCGTGCCTGTGGATCAGCTGCCATGCGTAGGCTTCTATGCCTGAAGGGCACATTGACTGTGGTCAATGTTAAGTGCAAACAGGTGTTTGGTTATCCTGATAAATGTTAAGGGGTTTTCAAACTTTGGCCTTCTTGTCTGGTTTCCATACAGAGAGATGAGACATTGTAATCTTCTTGTGATGCAGTAAGAGGGGGCATTACTTTTTTGTACAGCTGCTTTAGTTGGCCCCTAAGGATAGTGTCATGGAAATGCACAGGAAGTCGTCAAAAGCCCACTAGCAGTAATTTTGGATGAGTAACAGTAGGAGTCTCATAGTCTTCCCAACTGTAGATTAAATAACAACCTTACCTCAATTGGTACAGCAAGACCTAGAACTGCAGTACCTTTTGGTACTGAAAGTATTCCTACATTTAGCTGATTCAATGTCAATTAGAGTAATTCACAGCACTCTAGCATTTGCAGGATAGTAAGCACCCTGTCCCTGCTAAAAAGCCTAGGATCAATTGCCTTTGTCCCTTCAAAAATAAATGAGTAAAATTCAGGTGCGTGCTCATGACATGACGTTACTTTTCTTCACAGAGTTTGGTGTCTTTGTGGATTCCTATGGAAGACGCAGTAGGACAGATGACCTCAAATGGAATCGCTTGCCCTTAGCTTTTGGTAGGTGTGAGGGACATTCACTTGGATTATGGGAATTACTGAAACCGGGAAGCATCCTTGTGGGACAGGTATTCTTCACTCAGCACTTCCGTTTCCTCTTCCTTCTCCCAATTCTCCCAGAAACTACGGAGCTCTTCCCGTGATTTAAGATCATTATAAATCCAAATGGCAAACCTTCTGAAGTATAAACAAGTTGAGAAAAACTAAACTGAAGTTGTATTTCCTTGTAATGTTCTTAGTCCGACAGTGACTGCACTGGCTAGCGGAATTTTTAATGATGCTTGGAAGTTTCTCAAATAGTCAAGAATATGTAACGTCAGTGTGGTTCCCTCGGGCCTTTCGCACTACCAAATGGGATTTTTTTCAGTTAATAGTCTGTTTTTAATGCCTTTTTCATGACGCTTTGGTTAGTAACATTCTTGAGGTACAGAGAGTTTCAAAGCAACAATTCTTTTAAGCTCTACTTAGTAATAGTATCTATATTAGAGAAAATGTAGTCCCTTGGTTATCCCAAGGGGCTGTGAGGCTCTGTTGTGCTCACTGATGCTTGTTAGAAGTTTTTAATAGGGAATTTTATTTGTGTTTTTCCTCCCTCTGTGATGTTCCTTCAGCCTACAGGGAGCCCTATCTGTTTGTGACCCACTTCAATTCCCTTGAAGTGATCGAGATTCAGGCACGAGCGGCTCTGGGGTAAGTTGTCCTCTTTTCATTACTTTGAACAGCACGTGCTGCAAGAATACGTGTACTTGCCAGGAAAAAGGTACAGTGTTGTCATTGTAAAGACTTTTCCCTGCAATTTTACCCAGAACTCCTGCACGAGCCCACTTGGAGATACCAAATCCGCGGTATCTAGGGCCTGCAATTTCATCGGGAGCTATCTACTTGGCCTCCTCCTACCAAGACAAATTAAGGGTGATTTGCTGTAAGGGCAATCTAGTGAGAGAGACCAACAATGAGCAGCACCACAGAGGATCTTCTGCTACACGCAGGTATGATAAAGTCAGTATGTCATGGTCCTTGCGCACCTTGTAAGCAAACTTCGCTCCAGATGCCTTTTTCCCCCCCAAAGTGTTGGATGCCTTTGTTCCATTCTCAGAGAGAGAGAGGCTGGTGTTAGCCAACTATTGTAATGCTGGAATGGAACAAGTAGAGTCACTGAGGTTTTAAAATCCAGAAGGCAAAGAAACAGTAACTCTGTAGGAATATGTGGGTAATCACCTCCACAAGTGCTTTGTGATCTTCAACTCGTTTACGTTGTGATATAGCTGTGACTTCAAAGTTTCGTGCGCGTAGATGCTATTGATAGGACACTAAACGCCGATTGGCTGCAACTACCCCTAAAGCAAGAGGCACCTCCTCTTAAATAATGAGCGTGCCTTAGGGAGGCAGCGTTGGGAAGTTGTGATACAATCTTGTTCTGTTCAGCAGAACAGCGATGCTTCAGTCAAGTGACCCCCAAAGGTCGATAGTGCCAGCATGCACTGGAAACTGAGGCGCATCCTAACGTGGAGCTCCTGACAATGCATGTGAAAAAGCACACTGCTTATATATATATATAAAATATGAAAAAGTGTACTTTTGGGGCCTGTTACATAGACATGACCTAGATTAGCAACGGATTAAGGCACTCGACTGGTGTTGCTACTGTAACGGATACTCGGCTATCAAAATATCTTTGGACTTTGCACCTTGGCTCAGGGAGGTCTGATGCTTTTTCACCTAGACACTGCTGGGTGTTTGGGGAAAGTTACATTTTTGCTAACAGAAAATGTAACGTGAGGTTTTTGTCGCTCAGCTGTTCGCGTCCATTATTTTTGAATGACAGTAGCCCTAACAAGAGAGGTCCGCCCACATACAACGAGCACATAACCAAGCGGGTAGCATCAAGCCCAGGACCGCCGGAAGGTCCAAGCCACCCTCGAGAACCAAGCACACCACATCGGTACCGCGAGGGAAGGACAGAGCTGCGGAGGGACAAGTCACCTGGGCGACCGCTGGAGAGGGAGAAATCTCCAGGCCGGCTTCTCAGCACCCGCAGAGAAAGGTCCCCTGGAAGACTGTTCGAAGAGAGCAGCCGAGGACGAATGCCTGTGAGCGGTGCCAGAACTCCTCTTGCTCAAGTCAATAAGGTAAGTCAAGTCAGTCAGGAGCCTGGAGATCCTTTCTGTTCTCAGCGGGCGGCGTGGACTGCAGAAGGGCCGATGGTACTGTAAAGCACAGGAGCAAATCAAATCTCCCCCCACCCTGCCCCAACTTCTATTAAAGCAGAGCACATACGGTGTAACTCACCGGCCCTGTGAACGCCTTCCCTTGTGCTAGTTCTGCAACTGTAAAAGCAGCATGACTCTGGAACAGGCTAAAGTCCTCCATCTCGGAAAGCAAAGGTGCATTTACCAACAGAACTCAAGTTACTGAGGACTCGAAGGGGGACGAAGGCATGTGGGAGCCTGCTGTGTTCAGAGTGATGCTGAGAGTCCTTGCCTTTGTGGGTGGTTTAAGAATTATGCCCCATGGGAGCAAGCAGGCACACAGCCCTGGCTCAGCCGTAGCAGCAGTGGGCTAGGTGAGGTACGGCTGCTGGCACTTGTGCGTATGTAAGAGAGAAATGTGTGTGACTTGTGACTGTCACTTTATTTCCCTGCCAGGTCTGGGACCAGTCTTCAGTGTAAGTCTCAGCTAGACAAAGTTACTCATCTTGACCTGCAGGAAACAAAAGGAAATGTACTGAGTATATGCACTCCAGATGTCTGCTGCCCAGTTACCAAACAGCATTCCTGGGCCAAAGCTCGCTCTGCCGCGGGAGACGCGACGCTTTTGAAGATTGTTCGCATCTCAGTTAATTTCTCTGCACTTTCCTGCACTCCTGTTTTTGCACTTTGTACCACTGTTACTCTTTCAAGCGGTTCATGAACTTTTTGTATTCACTTTAGTCCCTAGTAGTTCATCAAGGAAATAAATCAATTAAACGGGACTAGAGTCCCCACCCCAGGTCTTTAATGTGGTTAGCACCCCTTACCAGATAACTGATCATAGTTCTGAGACATGCTGGGAATTCCCAATGGCCTGGAAACAGAAGGGCCAAGGTGAGTGAGTCTTTCAATAGAAGGTGTGATTGGCTATTCTCTCCGGAACATGAGAAAAATTACTTCCGATTAGTCCGTTCACCTGCCACTTCGGAAAGTTATTTTGTTCTCACTAAAATTGCTCTAGAGCAGCTCTGATGGGGAGGGAAGAACCCTGCTTTAAATGATCCCCTGGGCCCGGCCCTGAGACAAAGTGCATTGCCTATAAGCTACTGGGGTGTAAGACTTTATCCAGGTCTTCTGCATGACAGTTCACTGCATGCTGCTGCACCATCACTGGCTGCTCTCTCTTTTTAGGTTGCTTTGCCGAGTAGTGTATTGTACCTCACTTGTAAATTAACTGAAACCTTTAGATTACGCTGCAAAATAACCGTTAATTACTCTGGAAATTTGGCAACGAAGGGTTAGCAAGCCTTATTCTATGGCAAGAATTACAGTCACACTTGTGTTCTCCTCTCAGCATTGAACAGACATGACACCGTGGTCCTGAGAGTCTCACGCTCCCCAGAGAGAACAGCAGCCCAGGGCTGGCTCTTCCCCCCGTGATCTGTAACTTGTCGTACAATAAGAACCAAATGTCACGGCACAAGAGGATACTCACAATGAACAGCTTTAGCGGGTACTGAACACACCTTCGCCTTTGCTTCTGCGTATCTGACCTCAGGCCATTTATTGCTTTCTATTCTCTTTTGCTGTGAACACGAAGCAGAGAGCAAATGATTTTCAAAGCAGGTTTTGACCATTCAATCTGCAATAGCAACATTCTAAGTGAACAACCACGTTCTTTACAAGTGGAAAGAGCAAAACTGCATCCAATCTTCCCTTGGTCACACTCTTAAACTTCAGCTAGTCCCTTGCAAGCCTGTGCTAACCTGTTCTAGAAACCCGTAACAATTCAAATGCCTTGTCAGTGTCCTTTGGCGAGTTTCATGAATATTGTATTCCGTTCTCTCGTCTGTTGGGTTATTTTAGGTCAGATGACTTGGCAGGAAACTTGCTGAAAGTTTTTGTCTCCTGGTCTGAATATTTTGAAAGGTCACTGAGATCAGTCTTTAAACCTTTGCATCTCATGGAAGATCTTCAAGACCTCAGAAATGGGCTTGTTGTTGAGTCCTGAAAGTGTATATCTTGTGTCTTGTTCGTGAAATGCTTCCTGCTATAGAAATAGCTCAAAGGACTGTACATATTTACAAGAAACTTTATATTCGTAACAAAAGGGAATTGAATTGGTTTCTACTTTTTTATTGTAAACTGTGCGTTTTTCAACACTAGCTTTTTGTTTTAATGGTGGTTGTGGACAGCCATCTTCAGACAGTGGAGGGGCCTCAGCTTCGTCCTCCTCGCTCCCATGAAGAAATATTGTAACATTAAATTGCAATTGAAGCTTCTTAGCATAAATGAGATTTTAGGGCTCTAAAAGTACAGGATTTTTCTTCATTACCTTTTTATTATTGACAAGGGAGGGAACCAGAGGGACAGTTCAAAGCTCCACCTGGAAAGTACTGAACTTTGTTGTTGAACAATAACCAAATAAAACAAATAACTATCTTGACTGGCATGGTGAAATGAACGCTTCCTTCTATACAGCGTAACACTGAGCCATCCTACCATTGCACCCCGCATTAGAGGCTGTGTAATCTATAGGCGTCAAAGCTTACCAAAGAGCTAACCTTGACGATATTTAGCATTTCAATAGCCGTTATTCCCTGAACAAGTAGTGTAAGTAAGTGGCTTCACAAAAACAAAGCATATTCATACGAACTGAAACAGGCGCATTTGTCCAAAGAGTTTACTATAGCAGCAGTTAGCTGCAAACACCTACAGCTAAGTTCTGCCCTCACGTACTTAACTAGTGGTCTGGGTAGAGGTAAGACACGTGTGAGTATGTGGGAAAACAATCTCGCCCTGGCAAATGACCCACACATCTCGAGCTGGAAAAAAAGTCTTAATTAACAATAGTGTGATCTAATGACGACAGATTGCGGATTTATCCCAGCAGTGGTAGCAAAGCGGACGGAGATAGCTACTCATCCCACCGCTGTAATATGCTGGTGCTTTAAGGCCTCATAGCTGCAACTTTAAAAAAAAACCACAAAACCAAACATTCACAAATCAAGTCAGATTGAGTACAACCTGCAGAGTTAACTGTACATCTTAACTTACACCTGCTGGGAAAACTTGCTAGATCAGACTTAAATGTAAATACATCTATTTTTAACTGAACCAGTTTTTACAGGGTCTGAAGTATTCTTTCACAGGAAGAGGTTTTTAATATTCACACTGCTGCCTACAGTAACTTAATTTGTCCTCCTACTGTTCAGTGTTTTTGGTTTTGTGCACATACCCACCCCCTTGCCCCCAATAAAGGGCTCGTTGGAGGGTGTGTGGGTGTGTTACTAATAGCTCCTCTTACATTTTGGTCTACATGACATTCTCCATGAAGATGCTCTACATAAAACCCAAGCTGCTTGATTTATCTATTGTGCCTACTATCTGATGTATATGATGAAATGCTAACTTGTTAAATGTTCCTTTATTTCTCTTTTACTGTGCACAAAGAATACTTATTTAAAGCTCATTGTTGCAGTCCGATGATGCATGATCAGAATTGTAACAAAACTAAAATAATCCAGAAACTGGTGGAGTAAAAAAAAAAAATTATTTATTGAGCCTTTTGATTACCAAGAACCCTGCACAAATCCACTGCCAGCTTGACCACCACACACTGTGCCGAAATGCAGGGGGTCTGGGAGGGCAGGGAACTCTTGTTATTTCTGCCCTAGACACAGAATGTAACGGCTTACTCAGGAGTCCCAAAAATGACTCTAACAAAAGTCTCTGCATCTACCTTAAAAATGTGCTCCCCTAGCAACAGCCACGAATAAACATAACAGCACAGACTCTGAGATGTGGGTGGGGAATGTGAGCTAATAAATCCAGCTCTTGATCCAGCCTTTGCCTTTGCAGGGGTTTGATTCATTCCATTACAATAAGGGAACACACTGTGATTAATCTAAATTCATTCACCCAGAAAAAAAAAAACCTCAAGAAAAACCCACCCCACCCCAAAACCCACCCCACAGCAAAAACCAGGACAAGCAGGGCCTACCTCATCCTTCATCAGCCGGAGGC